GAGAAGACTAATAAGAAACCCCACTGGAATGGTAACAAATCTAAAAGGATAAACAAGTATCTTGATAGTCATGTAATCGAGAAATTAATTTTGACTTGTTGGCTTAGAAAGCATGACTGAACATCATCATCTGTAGAAACGAAATACAATCCACGAAAACAAGAAAGAAGAAACAAACACAAAAGAAAGAGACAACCAACCACAACGCAAAGATATGCGTGGTTCGACAATGTGCCTACGTCCACGGGAGATGAAAGCTTCTCTTTACTGACAATGGAGAATATGGTTACAGTAGCTCTCTTTTCCTCACGTCTCTCTGTTCTCTCTTATTACAAAGAAATCAGCGTTTTCACATCACTACAATATATAGAGTCCCTTACAAATTATCAAAATACCCATGTACAGATAAACCCATGTACGGATATATATCGAGTCTCAGATAGATGAAATAAATTATCGAATACCCTTGTACGGATATTCGAAATTTTCCTCGAGGCCTGCCGCCCCAAAACCCTTGCAGGGGCCGAGTCAACGGAGTCTACCTGTGCTGGACACTCCGCCGGGCCTCAAGCCCTTTGGGCCTTCGGCCCTCCGAAGTTGTCCTTTTGACTCTACCTTGACAGATCTATTTCTTCAAAATACAAGACATGAATCCCCAACATCATTGTCATCAAAGCCTTTTTCCAACTAATAAGGGTCGGCTACACGAATCTTGGCTTGTTTAAGAAGAATTAAATATAACTCATGAAAATTGGCTTGAGAATAGAAAAGATCTTGAGAGAGATGAAGCAACAATGGAGAGAAGCATAAAAAGGTAATGGAAAAATGGCTCTATGAAAGATTGTCTAAGATGATAGTTCACTCAAACCTAGTCAAACATTGATCGATAACTTCTAGACCTATAATGGTTTGAACTTATACTGGATTACAAGGGGCATAGTCAAGAATTTGACTTGCTGGTCTAGTCTGATCTTGATAACTATGCTCATAACTTATTAGAAGTACAAATATATCACCTAATTTTAATTTCAACTACAATTCATAAGCACCTTGGAATTCAAGTTTCACCACTTTACCCACTTCAAATATGAGTTTCTTCTAGATAATTTCCTTGGACTAAAAGCACCCATTTTCCAAAATGCTCTTATCTCTTCAAGGAGAAGGTTTTGATGGGCCAGCTGACTCATCCCTTTACATGCCTTCACCCTTCAAAATACATCTTAGAGAAAATTTTGTATCTAACAATTTTTGGGTTGACAATCTCAATAATGGTGAACACGAATGTGAACAAATAAAGTTATTTCATAGATATACTCGATCTACACTGTTTTTTAAGCTTTAAATTTTATAATTAGATATAAAAATATATTTTAAAGCTATCACAAAAATTTCCAATATTGAAACTACATTTCTCAATACTATTTGAATATGTACTTTGATTGTTTAGAGCTTGGACTTTATACAAACCGCACCCAATCATAAATAAAAAATTTCCTGCCCCTTATTCCCATTGGTAGCCCTACTTGCCACTGATGTGGCAAGAAATGTGAATGCTTTTGGTCAGAAAGAAGAATGATCAACTAAATGGCAAGAAAAAAAGGAAGCGAAAAGGAAAATGTATTTGATGAGTTGTGAAGGCCAACTTCTCTTTGGGTCTCAGTGCCAGAAGTGTTTAGGAACAGGGCATTGGATCTATGAATGTAAGAATGAACATGTGTATGTATCACGATCCTCGAAGACTAAAAAACTCAGAAACACCTAATTGAAAATGAATCTCAGTTACAAATGAACTTGACAATCTCAACAATCTCTTATGAAGGTGGTACTTGTCAAACATCAAGTTCATTTTATTTGCTCCCGACTAGGAAACTGGTTCTATGTGATGGTTTTCTTCTGATGCCAAAACACCAAAATAGTATCTTGTGAATAAATATATGGAGATGAGCAAGGAATGGACTTTAAAAGCACGATTATGTGGAATAAACCTGTGAAAATATTTACAAATATTTTGCTCTTCCCTGTTGCTCATTCATTTTGTTAGACTGTGTAGCCCATTCTACTTTGGGATGACTATCCCTTCTTTTTTTTGTAAACACTGTTCAGTCAACTGTGAATTGTAATTGTAACTCTATTATTTATTTTATTAATATAATACAATCATCTTATTTCAAAAAAGACAGTGATCAGGATATTATCTCTCCCCCCCTTACACACACATCCTTTGCTAGTAATTCTAAAAATGTAGTGATGATGTTTGGCTTCTTCAAAAATGGTTTTGCTTGAGAGTGCTGAGTAAGGTGTAGATATAAAATTATGCTAGCTGCCGGTGATGGTATCTATAACTTTCCCTAAATTCACTTTCACCCCTTTCTATAACTTCATATTATTATAAAAACCTTATTAAAATCTCACCTTCTCATCATTATATTTTTACTCCCTTAAAGGACAATAATATTGTTTCATTGGGAGTGTGAAATTGTAGGGAGAAGAAAATCAGGAACTTGACAATAAAAAATCATGTCTCGTTATTCACTCTTTATTGGATTTTACGAGTGGTTACCACATAAAAGAAATAAATGCCCTCAAATTAAAATAGAAAATAAAAAATTGGAAAATAGGTGAATATAATCAAACATTTCCACTCAAGTTGAGAATGCTGCATGAAAAGCTTATAAGTCAAACTCCAAATGTCTGCATTCAGTTGTTGCTTTGGTGAATATATATAGTATCTTGTGAGAACAAACAAATAGCATAGAAATATCTTAAGATATCACCTTTTTTTTCGATAAAATGATAATCAATCCCTGTGTTTTGTGCTAGCATTGAAGGCATATTTATAAGTAACACCATAACACTTTGGTTATCGCATGAGAGTTGAAATAGATTTTCTCATGGAAATTCCAATTTCAATAAGAAGAGCATAACCAAACAACCTCTACAACCACAATGCTCATCACCCTATATTCAGACTTAGAGCAGATTTGATGCTAATTAGTGTTTAAAAAATTATCAATCTAGCATTGCCATGGCCGATTCCCTTACATAATCGAGACTCCTCTTGTTTTTGGAGACTGACCCGCTATAGTCAACCACAAGATTCCTGCCCTGAGTATTAGGAATTGCTCGAGTTTGCAATACTCAGGCGATTCTCCAGAGTTCACTTACTTAAAACACCTTTTTTGTGTTTAAAAGCAAGCTGGATCGTTCTCCTGTTTCTTCTTTTTCAACTATTTACGCTCAGATTAGAGGTATTTTGTTCATTTTTCAGTCTTTTATTAGAACTGTGTGAAGGTTTTTTGGATTAAACCTCCAAATCAAATAAATTAGAGGTAGAAATTTTGAATTTTTTCCTCCCCATTATTTGTACCTATTTGTTTTCGACCATTTTCTGCTAGATTAGAGGCATTTTGTTTGTTTTTCAATCCTCTATCAGATTTATGTGAAGATTTTAGGATCTCAACTCCAAACCAATCGTTTAAAAAACGGATCGGTGACCCGGATCGGGCTTCCAAAAAACCGATCCGGATCGGCGAATCGGCGATCCGCATCGGGAATCCAGTGAATCGGTCAGAATAAAGTTTAAAAAAATCCGAAAAAATTATTAAAATTCATTATAAATATTGTTTTTTAGGAATTCAATAAGAAATGAGGGTACTCCATTAAGAATTTTCATGTTTTTGAATGAATATGCGAATATTGATATGTTCTTTCCCTGCATGAACCGCCATTTAGCATTTAATTTACATCACACAAAAGGATAAACATAGAATTATTATGGAATAAGTATATCAATATACATGGACTACAATAAAGCATAAAATTAGTAACATATGATTTAAAAATAAAATGATAGACGACGTTATTGTTCTTCTTGGTCACGCTGGTGCCATTGATTGAATTCGTTTAACAATTCATTTATTCGATCTAAAAACGAATCATCGATATTAGCAGGCTTCTGACTATTCCCAAATCCCTAAGTGTTAGTGTTTTGTTGTGTTTCCAATCTAAAATTTCCGAAGATTGTCCATCCTTCATGCTCACCTGCACTGTCGTACTCATCCCTACACTGTTGCTGTTGGGACTCGATATGTGAATAATATGGCTGGGATAGGGTGGCCCTAGAATCATCATCTCTCTCATTTTCTCTTTGAATAATATGGATTAAAAAAAAAAA